GTGCCAGCTTTAACATCTGCTTTATGTCAGGGTCACATGGGGTTGACTTTCTTTTCTCTGGAGTATATGCTGCATTTTCTTTATTTTTATGTCAAGTTGTTTTGGGTTATAGCCTGTATACTATGAATACGAGGTTATGAAGATTCTGATTTGTTCACTTTTTCTAATGGGTGCTATTTCCTTAGTATTAGCAAGACATTTTTTTGGCTGGACATGAAGTGCAAAGTCTGTTTCTTTGGGCAGCAGCTCTGGTCTGGAGCCAAATAATTTTCTTAGCTGGGCTGCTTTCTTCTGATCCATGCATGCAGAGGTCAGTCTGAGATGTGTGCAGACAGGTTTTAGGGTCTCCTCTATTTTCTTTTCCCTTCCCTTCCAGCACTCCCCTGCTTGCTTCAGTAACAGTTTCTCAGCCTCACTTCTCTGATTTTGCTGACCAGGAAGACTGTGGGCTTTTCCATTAGTGTCTCCATTCTGGAGCTGCTTGCTAAGTAACAAATGGACCACATAAATCCCAGCGTGAAAGTTGCAAAAATGGGGACCTTGTATTACAGTGCTGCTCTTCACACGTTCTCTGCCCACAGGAGTCTCTGCTTCTGTCCACTCTCCAGCAACTTCAAGTAGTTCCTTTTGTGTCATAGCCAGCTTTTATCATTTTTTGTGGGGGAGGCACCCTCTGGTAGGGACTTATTCGATCATTACCAAAAGCCAGAAGTCCATTTGATCTGTGCTATTGTTGATAACAGTAAACTGTTGGAAACAACATGAATGTACATTAAGAAGGGAGTGATCCACAAAGGCAAACATCAGCAAAGTGAAAAGCAACCTTCAGAACGGGAGAGAGTTACTCTTCTGATAGGGAATTGGTATAGAGAATATATAAGGAGCTAAAGAAATTAACTCCAACCCCTGAACAACCCAGGCAGTAAAGGCCAAAGGAAGTACAAATGGCCAATAAGTATCTGAGAATTGTCCAACATCATTAGCCTTTAATACAATGTGAATCAAAATTACATTGAGATTCTGTCTCACTCTATTCAGGATGCCTACCATCAACAATGCCAAAAGCAACAAATGCTGACAAGGATGAGAATGTAAAATAGTACAATGACTAAGGAAATCACTATGAAGTTTCTTCAAGTAACTAAAAACAGAATTTTCACTAAACCCAGCTATAGAAGTCCTTGGTATATTCCCAAAAGAATTAAAGACAGCCTGCTATAGCAACACATGCCTACCCATGTTTGTAGCGGTGCAGTTCACAATAACCAAGCTGTGGAAAGAACCTAGACATCTGTCAAAAAAATGAATGGATAAGAAAAACATGGTATATACACACAGTGGAATATTATTCAGCCTTAAAGAAGGATGAAATTATGTCATTTGCAGAAAAAGAAATGGAGCTGGAGGCCATTGTGTTAAGCAAGATAACCCAGACTCATTTAACTATCTCATTTTTTCTCTTATATGCACAATCTAAAATGAATGAATGAATGAATGAATAAATTAAATAAAGGAGAGATAATAGGAAATTAGAAGGTAGAGTTTTAGAGATGGGGAAAAAGATCAGGAAAGAGAGGAAGAAAAGGAGAGAGGAGTAATGGGAAATGCAAGAAATCAAATGTTATATGGATGTACCAGTATATCAAAATGAATCTTGTTGCTACGTATTACTAACATGCAGTAATAAAAAAAAGATTTTAAAAAGCTGTGGCAGCACATCCTCTGGAGTACTGTGCAGCAGTTGGAAGGACAACGGTCACTTTACTAAAAGAGACAGATCTCCAGGACATATACTCAGGAGCTTCTGCACCGACGTGCATTCTGTGTATCGGATGCCTTGGTGCCTGGCAGGCTCCTCCTTCAACATCAACAGTCATCTCTCCAGCTGTCATGAACGTTGGCTACAGAAGGACACAGCAGAGTCCTTCTCTAGGAATTGTCCTCAGCCAAGGACATATTTTCTAAAGCATGCTTCTTCCTCGGAGGTAGCTCGCATTTGGTGACTGGTTAATGTGAGGATGCGATGATCCAGCCTTTTTTCTTCAAGTCAACTCTGACGGCCTCTCCTAGTTACTGTGCCTATGACAGTGGCTAAGACATTAGCCCTATTTTATTATATTCAGTTTGTTCTGTTCAGTCCTGCCTCCCTTGCTCCTTCCCAGGTGTTGTTTCGGTAATCCATTCTCCCCGTTAAATCTCCTGCACAGAGATCTCCCTCTGAGAGCCTTATCTCCTGGGGAATCTTATCAAAGGAAGCCTGACACCCTAAAGCAAGAAAACAACTCACAAACAGAACATGGATCTGTCAATACATGTATGTATGTAAGGCACAGGAAAGGTTCTAGAAGAGTACAGATGAAAATGATAATAGCAGAATACATTAATGTAAGGGATACATTCATTTATATGGACTGCTTAAACTTGTTACAGTTCAAATTTATTTATTTGTCTTTGTGCAAATAAAAACAAATACAATTACAAAAACCAAAAGATCAATCTATGTCTTCACTCCAGATCCTTCAAAACCTACACTCAAGTACCCTGTACTCAACTGCTTCTTATGTTCCTTCACTGGGAGGGGCCTCAGAAGCCTCCTGCTCATGCATCCCTAAGCCAGCTCAGCCTGGTCTTCCTCCACTTTTCCTCCTGTGTTTGCTTCTCTGATGAGTGAGAACATCAGCCAGTGACTGGCTGCACAAACAAGGAATGTGGGAGTCATTTCTCCTTTCCTTTCTCACTGTACCACTTTTAACCCATGTCAGAACAATAGAAATCCTATTGTTCTACCTTTTCAATATCTTTTGGGCCCTTCTAATTCTCTGGGTCCTTTGCCATTATCTTAGTTCAGGTTGCCATCCGTTTTTGTTGGATGATTGTTCAGAATCTTGACTTTTCTCTTTGTCCCCAGGCTTGTTTCTCTTTCATCTATTCTCCACGTTCCTGTAAAGCCTCTCTTTCCACAACATTAGGGTGCTCAAATTACTCCTCTCCGATGGGGACCCATTGTCCTCAGGAGGTTCTCAGTTTCCTAGAATGGCATAGTAAGCCCTCCTAATCTCGCATTATATCGTCCAGCCACACTACATCCCCGACTGGTATACTTGTCACTCTTTTTCTTGTCTGCGTCGCACAAGCCTGGGCCTCTTCAGGTATGTTCTTTACTCTAGGATCTTCCCACATCTGTTTCTTCTGCCTGAATCAGCGCTGTGCTCAAGCCAACTCCCCATCTTTACCTGGGTGCCTGCTATTGCATTTCTAGGGAAGAAAAGTTAGGTATCTTTCAGGTACAAATTAGGTGTCCTGTGCAGTGAGGGCATTTGTGCCCACCCCCGTGGCATTTCCTACCTTGCATTGCTATTGCCTGTTTTCCTGTGATCCTCACTAAGCTATGAGTTCCTCACTGTCTTAGTCTCAGATTAAGCTTTTCATATTCAACAATTAACATGTAAGGTTGCCTGATTCAGCAAATAAAAGTACATGCCATCAAATTCAACTTGAATTTTAGAAAAATAAATCTGCACTTTTTGTTTTGGTGGTGCTGGGGATTGAACCCAGGGTCTCTGTAGGATGGGGAAGTTCCCCACCATTGAGCTACATCCCCAGTTCAAATATTCATCTCTGTTATAAGTGTGCTCCTCAGTGCTGCATGGGATGTATTTGTTCTAGCAAATTATTTGTTCTTTATGTGATTTTCCAGTTTAACTGGCTGTCTTGGCTTTTGTCTGGCAACCCTATCAGCACTGTCTCCTAACAGAACCAAATGATCTACCCCTCCCCCTTTTTTTTTCCTGAAGAATTTTAAAAGCTCATTCACATATTATGACTTCTTAACTCTAAATGGCTCAGAGTGTGCCTCCAACATATATGAACTTTAAAGAATTTTAACCATCATGGCATCATAGACCAAACTAAATTAACGGTAACTCCTTAATGTCATTTAATAAGGAGTGTGAACACAAATTTCCTTGATCTCTCTAATGACAGCAACATCATTCACAGATGCTCTTCAGATGTAGGGAAGGAGCGGGGACCAGGGTCACAGGAGGGTGGTTGTAGCCTTCATGAGATTTCTGAGAGAACGAGAAAATCTCTAGAATTTTCATTTGGATCAGGCCTCACCTGGGAAGGAAGGCATGCTGGGAGGAGTTTGGTCAGCAAAGGCGGTGCGGGGGTGGTAAGGGCCCTGGGTAGCACAGGACTGACGTTGATGAACTGGCTGCCTTCTCACTGCACTTCCCCAAGAGAAGGAAACATCTTCGTTCACATTCTCATCCCCAGGAGCGGGGTTGTGAAAGATGATGGAAACAGGAAGAGCAATGACATGTGCGGAGAGCACTGAGCTGGACTTTCATCCAGTTCATTTCATGACTCCGACGCCCCTCCTGGCAGGGTTTGATTAACTAGCTGTACCCTTCCTCCCGTCATAAATCTGCATCGCTTTCCCAGGAGAAATGTCGCCATTGCCAAATGGCGGTTTTCATAATGAAAGTCCCAGTGATTTATTTATCTTCCCAAGATTCTCCAAACATGAGACACTTAATTGGACTTGTCCAAACACTGTCAGTCAGCCATAGCCTCGAAGACCTCCTCACTCCGTGTTCAGAATATAACGGAAATTAATGACACAATAAAAATGCCAAAACTGGTCTCTGGTAGAGGCAGAGGAAAAGTAATGAAAAACGATCGCACACACTTCTTAGCTGTGTTGTACTGTGTGCATTGTAGTTGGAGTGGGTGTTGAGGGTGGGCAGAGAATAGCAGTGTTCATTTTTTTTAAAAAAAACTTGTGTGATCAGCTCCCAGGTTGGTCTCTCTTTAGACTGGGAAAACTTGGGTCACAAAGAAATTTAGGTAGTTCAAATTGGCTTTGGTAATAACAAATACTGAGCCATTAATTACAGTACTGTGTTTGCATATTGTCTTCTATAGTATATTAAATTAGCTGTTATTTCCAGAGCTAGATTTTAAAAGGTACCATTTCTCTTCCCCCTGAAATTCAGGCTACCCCAGAATGTGTTTCTTGGTGATTTCTGATGCTTCCATGAATTATACATTGTTCAACGACTACCCAAGCCCCAACTTTATTCCCACTAATCTCAACCTCAAGAATCCATCCACAGACCAGGAGAGAGAAGATGAACAGGTTAGGCTAAACTCCCAAACTTCAGTTTCCTCATCTGGCACATGGATATAGAAAGAAACACTTTCTTAGCTTTCCTTATAGAGTGGCAAGAATGAAATGAAGCAGAACTGTATTGTGCACCAAGCTCATCCTGATATTTTAATCAACAATGGTGGTACAGTAAGATTATAATGGAGCTGAAAATTCCTATCATCCTAAGGTGCTAACATTGCAGCAACACATTATTCATGTTTGTATTAACAAACATGCTCTACTGCCAGTGCTATAAAAGATTAGAGATACAACCATATAGTGTATAATACTAGATAACTGTAATAAATTATAGTGTTACTGGTTTATATGTTTCTATATTGTGGTTCTTTTTGTTTGGGTGTACTTCTACTCATTAAAATGTTTGCTATAAAATAATATGTTGTTACACTGGCAGCAGCCTCAAACACCTTTGTGTTTATCGTATCTCTCAATTACGTCAAGAGGCCACATGGAATGATTGGCTCATACCATTTATCCTTGTGAAACATACACTACGATGCTTGCACAGGACAAAACCAAAAATACACTTCTCAGAAAGTGATGTGTGACTATATTGGGAAGGATTGTTTAGCAATCTGTTAATCATATTTTTTGTGGCCCTGAGAATTGAACCCATGTCCTTGCTTATGCTAAGCAACCACTCTACACTGTTCTACAACCCCAGCCTTTTTTTCTCCACCCTCTCCCCTCCCCTCCCCTTCCTCCCCTTCTTTCTTTCTTTCTTTCTTTCTGTCTTTCTGTCTTTCTGTCTTTCTGTCTTTCTTTCTTTCTTTCTCTTGTCTCTCTTTCTTTTTCTTTCTTTTAAATTTTCCTTTCTATCAAGTTATAGTTAAGTTGCCCAGACTGGCCTCAAACTAACAGTCCTCCCACCCCACCTCCCATGTCTCTGGGATTTGTTGGGGACCACAAATTATCAACTGAATCTAGACATCTGAGGCTGTCTTTGTCCTGCCCTGTAAGCCAAACTGGAACTGGGAAACTCTCTGCTTTCTCTCAGTCATAGCTGAAGCCCTACATTAGTGATGCCATGGTGCTCACAGGGCAAGATCAGACCTGCTGAGGATGACAAGGATTTTTAATGTAGTAGCGATAGTAAAAGTTTCGCCTGGGGAAACTAGAGTTTCCTTATTGCACCTTGTCCCATCCCTGTAAGACTGCTTTGTTCCTCTTGTTTGTTTGTTTGTTTGTTTGTTTTTCTTTTTGAGACAGGGTCTCCCTATGCAGTTCAGGCTGGCCTTGAGCTCACATTGTAGCCCAGTCTGGTCTTGAACTCACAACAGTCCTCCTGCCTCATCCTCCTGAGTGCTGGGATGACAGGTGTGAGCCACCACGCCCCGCGCTTTGCTCTTACTAGCTCACTGTAATTGCCATTACTGTCCCTGGAATCACTCACCGCTCCTCCCCACATTCTGGCTAATCAAACAGTGGCAAGCTGGAGAGTCTTTGTCTTTGCCCATCCTGAGGCATTGACTTCCAGCGCCCCTTTTCATGCATTACTAAATTGTCTCTGTCTCTTATTTCATCCTTCCCTGCACCCCTCATACAGACTGTTGGGATTTGGCCAGGTCCCCACACAGACAGATGTACATGCCTCACCATGCTTGGCTCAATTTCTGTCAATCTTTTAAGGTTGCTTCTGCTTATCATCTTAGGAAATCCTTTAATCTTACCTAGCGAAAAAGTTTTTTAACTCAAGAAGAAATGAAAATTGTTATTCCTTTCCTACCTCTCTCAGAAGAAAGTTGTGAAAATATTAAGTGAGAACAACTTGAAAAGTCCAGATTTCTTTATAATACTATCACCAGTTGTAACAACAGAAAAGGCCCATAATAGAAGTAATTTATATTCAGTGAAAGTAAGTGTGGACTTTTACCTTCCAGCAGCAACCACTCTGCCGAGTCTGGGGTTTTCTCAGCCCTCTATTTGATTTCTTGGAAGCAAAGCTGAGTCCGGCTGCTATTCTTACAACTTCCTTGTTATCTCAGCAACGTTTGACACAATTGACCACACCCTCGCTGTTGAAGGCCCCGCCTTTGACTTCTGTGGTATGGAACTCTCCTGGGTTTCCCCTGCCATCCTGGCCCTGTCTTGTTAATTTCTTCTGTGATGTTTCTCTCTCTTGGTTTTTCCTTAGATGCTGGTTTTCCTTGTGTTTAATCCCCAAGCCCATTTTCCTCATCCTATTGTTTTTTCTAGATGTTACCTGTCTCCAGTTACCACCCATTTGCTGTTGACTCCCAAGTCTACATCTCCAACACATATTGCTTTTCTGAGTTTCAAATTTGTATAACCAACTTCCTACTAAGATTGTGCTCCAAAGACAAAGCAAATCCAACATGTTCTATAACAAATCCATTCTGTATTCCATCAAAACATACACATTTTCATCCATTCAGTAAAATCCAACCAGAACCTTGATGTCTGAAAGTAAAAATCTCCATCGGATCTTTGCCTGGTAGCTGGCTTCCAAGAGGTAGGAAGCAGAAGTTGCAAGATCATTTAAAGGCTGTGTGTGCTTCTGACTACGGTATCATCACCTCTGCTAACTTGTATTTCTCATACTGGTCAGAACGTTCACCCAGATTTGATATTGTGTAGAAATTTACTAACACATACAGAAGAGTGATAAGTCCACATTGTGAAAGAGTATGAATGTGGAATGGAAAATAGCACTGTGAACATCTCTGGAAAATGCAATTTGCAACAACAGCAAATCCAGAAATCAAATTCAGACCCAAGTCATTGCAAAGCAAAAGCATTCTATTATGAGGTGATACACTTTATATATTCAGAAGAGTGTGTCCTTCAGTTCTAGGAAATAGATGAAATGAAGAAATACTGGTGTTCTCAATCATGAGCTAATTGTTCACTTATTTATTCATCAGATGTCTACAGGTACTGGAGGTACCCAGCACCTATCACAAACTCAGGTGTTTCAGTGCGTACAACAACCAGCAGATCACATGAACTGCTGTTCTCCTGCAGCCTGGAATCCATTCTTCCTTGTGGGATAAATATTTTCATTTGGAATAATGAAATCAGAATCGATTGTTGTTACTGGCAAGGAGTGATCCATTTTTACTTCAAGGCATGTTGGAATGAAGCTCTTTAGGAAAGTAGAGGTCTACATAACTCTTAAAATTTAAACTTAACCAGAAGTTTATTGCATCATAAAATATTTAAACTTCTTGGTGTGGCATGTTTACAGGGAAGAGTCTAAATTTTAAATATTTACAGCTGATAAATATTATTTATTACATGACAGTACTTGATGCATAACCAACTGCTTACAGGAAAAAAATAATTTAGCATTCAAGCTAATTAATTTCATATCCTGTCCTAGGGTCAAACTGTGGTTCTGGCCAAATGTCCAACAGTTGGTAGGCCAATGACCCAAACAACCAATTGGATCACTGTGCAATCTGATTGCCTCGTTAACACAACTAAAACAATAACCAAATCAGATTGACTCTGTAGCAATCTAATCAATTGCTCTGTAATCAGATATAACAGCTTTCCAATCAAATTAATTTAATTTTATTCAGTTTAGATAAGTGACATAGGCCCGCTATTGCCTCATCCACAGAATGACATAGTGTTAGCATTTGAAGAGATCCTAGAGAATGTCTGGTTCTATGCTTTTCCTGTTGGGAAAGTGGTGTGGACTGTATGCAAAGTCCCAGCTAAATTATGGCACATCTTTCTGCTAAATGCATCTTAAAATTTGGAGCTGGGGAAGAAAGGATGCATTCATACATGTAAACAGGTACAAATATTTTGTGAATTATGAATGATCTGGTAACCAGAAAATTCCAATGTTAGTGACATAATAGGTAATTTCTCCTCTATGTTGCGTATCCATCAGGCTCAGCTGGGTCCTGGATTCCAAGCTGTCTTCTTTCCAGGGTCTAGACTGATGGTAAAATCTTTATCTAGGACATTGCCTATTGCCTTAGTGGAAGAAAAGACAAGTGTATTATACCATGGACTGGATCTTAATACAGCCACTTAGAAGTGGCAACTTCCATTTCCACACATACTTCATTGGCCAAAGCTTGTTGTAGAGACTCACCTGTCTTCAAAGAGGGCCAAGAAAGGGCAAATCTACTGCTATAGGGCAGCTCCTTCTACAGGTGGCTCACCAAATAAATGTTACTGGGTTCTCGGTTGCTCAGCTCTCCTTCTGGAGTTGGATTCCAGGTTCTTCTCATCTTGAACAAAGAACTGGATAAAATGAGCAAAAAGCAGTGGCAAAGTTTACTCAAAAAAATAAAAGTGAAGAGTGAGGGAGAAACCGGCTCTGCAGAGTGAGCTTGGGCAGAGTAAAAGAGGAATAAGCAAGTAGAAGAGCATCCCGGAGAAAGCAAGGTGGGCCATCCTGAGGAGACATGAGAGCAAGCTCTTTTGGGCAGCTGTGTCCTTTATACTGTCCAAGTCTGGAGGAAAGCTGTGAGACTGTCTACATGTAGGTCCTGAGAGGTGGTGCTGGGGTCCCACGCCTCAGGCTGACGTCAGCTCTAGGCCATCCTATTGAAAAACTGCTCAAGTTCTCCTGAAGTTCACTTTCAGGGCTTTGGGAATTGTGTGTTCTGGGATCTTGTAATTAATAGGTCATGCCCACTTCCCCAGCCAGCTTCACCTTGTGTTAATCTCCTATGTCACTATATGTGTTCAGAATAAGTAGAAGTATTTGGTGAACAGTATTAATGTCTATAACAGAGTAGGCTTCAAAGTCCATAAATTTAAGATGAAACATAAAGCTTCCAAGAGACTTCTTTCAGTCCACATGCAAACACCAAAATGTTAAATAGACATTGCATAAAATGATGAATTCTTACCTGAAATATTTTATTTTATATTCAAGTACACAATTATATGTGTCCTTATTCCATGTCTTTTGATGCCAGTCCAGTAGGATTTCTGAGAAGAGGTTCATGGGGGATGGTATTATACCATCCGTTGTGAAATACTTAGTTACAGTTTAGTTACATTCTGTGAGGATCTCCAGGGGTGATTTAAAGGACCTTTTCCTCTCTCTTTGTATCCTCAGAGACTAGTACTGAATCTGGCATACATAAATTTCAGAGTGTTTCTGGAATTAATCAATAAATAAATATAGGACTTCCCCCAAAGGGAAGTGGACGTTAGTGGGTGTTAGGGCACTCATGACAGAAAATATATTGGAAAACTTGGGCTTTCTGGAACTTCTAGATGCATAATTCTTAGTAGTTCAGTGTTACCTGGGTCTGCTTTTTTAACTTTTCTGTTGGAATGTTCCAGAAAAACACTGATCAGTATTAGCATAGTTGATTACAGAACCTCTCCAGCTAGAAATGTAAAAAAAAAAGGTGTTGGTACTTCTGATTTATTTCTCTTTGCTTCTGTTTCCTTCATGTGTAATTGCTTCTTAGGTGTGTAAAGTGGGAGATGGCTGGAAAGTCTAAACATATTTCTGGACCTATGTGCAGAGTTGCCACAAATTGAAATCAAATCAGGATCCATTATCTACTGCAGGTAAGTGTATCTGTGGACATCACTTTTGGGCAGAATATTTAATCTTTGTGACTATTGGTATCTAGTTTTCTATAGGTACCTATTGATACAGATGTTTGTTAGCATTTATTTAGTTATTTTAACAATTAACATAGACAGTTAAGTTTTCAAAAGTCCATTTTCCCTGTGCTGCAGATTCTTCTATCATGCTCTGAAATTATGAGTTTCATCTTGTCACTCTTTCTTTGAATGACTTATTCCACTTTTCTTTCTTCTCCCATTTGGCTCACTTCTCACTCTTGAATTCCTTTGCCTGTTTTCCCCTCACATCCTCCTCTCTCTTCTCTTCCTTTACCTCCTTCTACTATTTCTTTCCATTTCCCTTCTTTCTATCCCTTTCCACTCCTCATCCCCGTTTTCCTTTCTTCCTCCTTTTCAGCCTTCACTCCCTATGCAATATGCTCACTCCTCTTGGCCCATCAGCAGAAATCTACACCCACAGCTTTTGATCTTTGGTTGTAGTTGTCCTGCAACTTTCAAGGTTTTCATGAGATGTGCTTCAAAAGCCAGCCAACTATTTGGAACCCTAGATCTTGAGACAGAACTGATAAAAATAATCCAACACAAGCTACCACCATCACCACTTGCCAGCTTGCAGGGGGGCTGTGCACCAACTAATGCAGAAGGAGCTTAGAAAATCCTGAACAAGCAGCTGAACAGCAAGAGAGAAGGAAAGACAATAGGAGAAGCTCTATTTAAACTTGGCGAAGTACAAGCAGGACATTGGATCTGGGAAGAGTTGATGATAGCTAAACTAAGAATCAGAAAGTGGGTTTGAAACTTCCTGTGGGATCCCAGTCTTGGCCTGTCTTCCCACTCTGTGGACTCTGTGCCAGCAAATACATCTCCTTTTCATTTGTCAGCATTCTGTTTCTTGTTAGAGACTGGGATTCCCGGCAGTGGGAGAGACCAGCACTGCTTGATATGCAGGACCTGACTTCTGCATGGGTCTCTGCAGGCCTGGATCTTTAAGCTGGTACAGTGGCTTGGGAGGTGTTGAGAACTGTTCCAGTTACGTGGGCAGTAGCTGCATATGTTGCAGAGGCTGGTGGCACCTGAGGAATGGTCTTTGTGGTATCTAAGATGAACCCGCCTCCTGGTACCTCCTCAGCCAGCCCACTCCCCATTTTTGTCTTGGACCATTTTCTTTCTTCCTCCAGCTTGCCTGACCTATGTCTTCCCTTGCTTAGCCAAACAGTTAGGCTTTAGGGCTGCTCTTTTTATAGAGAAGGGATGCAACAGGAGGAGCTGGGAGGAGAATGGCAAAGTCTCCCGTGGCAATGGAAAGGATGCATCTCTTGATCCTTGATCAGCATGATGGTTATTTAAAGGCAGGAATGCACGAATATTTATCAAGCTGTGCATTTAAGATTGTTCATGTCATTGTGTATAAACTATTCCTTTAAATATGAGTAAGAACAAGAAAAAAAGAAGTAAGGGCCTATAAGCACTATAATTTGGTTTGAATCCACTTAAGTTTGTACTGACCTCTGTAAATAGAAACAGAATACTTGCTACAGAGGTGTTTTGTGTATTAAATGAAATTAATAAAACATGCAACATCATGTAAAAGTCCTGGCCTAGAGTTACTGCTCAGTAATGGTTACAAACGTTATTATTGTTTGAGAAGGTTATTCTCTGAACATGGCAATGATGCAATTGCCTTAATTTAAAATTCCTCTTGGCCTACTCGAGCATGTGGAGACTGTCCTTGAGGGCAGTCTCAAAGGTGTGACTGACAGCAGGGATTTTCAGCACTGGGACAGGCTAGCAGGAGAAAATTACAGGAGATCAGGGTGTCTATGAATGATCTTTAAATCATACCGTCCAGGCAGTCCATGTGCCTGGTCCTCCCTGGCAGTCTGTGGCCTCCCCTGTATTTCACACCAGCAACAGCCATGTCCTTTGAGTTTTGGAGACAAATTTTGGATGAATTCATTTTTGGCAGATAAACTCCCCTCATGTGCAAAATGTAAACACTCAGTCTATCTCCCTAACATCAACACTGAGAAACACAGCTATGACTAATGGCATTATCTCAGTTCAGTGGTGAAAAATTGGAGCCTTCCTGATTGTTTTCTATCATCATTGAAGCCTGTGTTATTGTGCTTTTTTAATCACGCTCCAGGAAATGGCTGGGCCTTTCGGATTTATTGCTGACTTGTATGGTGCAACTGCCTAGCAACACATAGATCCACAGAATTTTGGAGCTCTATAGAATCTTAAAGATTAACTAAGTGAAAAGCTCTTAGTTTATAGATGAAGGAGGTGAAGTAACTTGCTCAAAGTTCATTCATTGTCAAGAAGTATTTATTTAGCAACTGTGTGCCAGGATTTGTGGTAGACCTTCAGTTACATAATCTGCCATGGAAAATTTCTTCTAGCTTTCTCAGAGAGATTTTCCAAGCCAGATTTCTCTTCAACTGGTACTTCTGAATATGCTTAAATATCTTTAATAAACAACTTGAGGGGTTAAGGATGTAGCTCAGTGGCAGCGTGCTTGCTTATAATGCATGAAGCCTTGGGTTGTATCCCCAGCACAAACAAACAAACAACAACAAAAAAACCCTGCAAAACCAAAACCAATGGTAGACAAAATCTTGTACAGAACAGTAATCTAGACTGTGCATAAGGGCTCAGCTCTGAGTTAGTCACTGAGGGAGAGGCAAGGCCCAGCCGGCTGGCCCTGCAAACTGTGTGGGGTTTACACACAGGAGGACCTGAACAGAATGGAGGAATACAGTGCTCAGCACTGTCTTGCTTACTTTCCTCTTCCAATCTCCATTGCGGAACACAGCCCTGAGACATCACCTCTGTTTTCTGACTTCCTAATTACCAGACTACTCTGGATAGTCATTCCCTTCTGACTTCAGCCCCTTACGTGTGCTTGAAAGAGTAATGAAACACACACGTGACTGACTTGTCTTCAAAGTCCATACACTGAGGACCCTGAACACATGTTTTATCAGACACGAAGCCACACTTTATCACCCTACAGAGATAGGACCTAACCTGGTAAAGTGGATCTGGGAAAAGCACAAAAGAGTATTTAGGGATGTGGCAATTGGAGAGGGTTCCTGTATATAAAGTGACAGTAACTATCCAGCTCAGAGAGTTTCTCACAAGAACTGTGGAGCCAAAATTCCCACATCTTCAGTTATTTCAGATAAGCTATCAATTTTGACTGTTTAAAGATGATGTGACCTAGCTTTCAAAATCATTCTGTAAGTCAAATAAAAAAAAAAAAATAACATCTGCGGTTGCTTTAAAAATTTCTTTCCCCAACCACTGCCCTAAAGATATTGTCTTGGTTTATTCTGGCTTCTATAACAAAGACTAGGTGGCTTATAAAACAACATTTATTGCTTATGGTTCTGGGGGTTGGCAGTCTGGGGCTAGGGTGCCGACATGGCTGGGATCTAGAGAGGGCCTCTTCTGGTTGCTGACTGTAAGATTCTCTTTGTGTCCTCACATGGCAGAAGGGAAGAAGCAAGCTCATCAGGACACTCCATTCATGGAAACTCCACCCTCCTGACCTCATTTAGCTGAATTACATCCCAAAGACACTCGTCCTAGTAGCACTGCATTTGGGGGGTAGGGTTTCAACATACGAATTTTGGGGAAACATGAATACTCATCCCATAACCGATATTATTTCAAATTTAAGACCAGCAGAGGGCTAGAGAGTGAGGATGGGCTGAAAGATGTTTGGATATCTGAGTCTGTTTCCTTACCTTTTGCTTGGCTGAGGAAAGACAATGCTGGTATTGTGAGAGGGAGCTTTGATCAAGAAGCAGCTGAATAACAGCCACATTACTCATCTCTCCCTTTGGGAAGATTACTTAAGCAATCTGAACCTCCTTTTCTCCTTGTTAATGTATGGGCTCATGCCATCTTCTCAGGCTTTTGTCATTCAAGTGTTATTGACTTGCTCTAGTCATTCATTCATTCATTCATTCAAGTATTTATTAAGAATCTATTATGTAGCAGACATTATGTCAAGCACTTGAATTCAGTAATGAGCAGAATAAACACAGACCTGGGCCTCAAAGAGCACACAGATGAAAAGCAAAAGAAGAGCATGAAGAAGACAGTAACAATGCAGCATGCTAAAAATTGTAATGAGGAGGTCAAGTGCTATGGAAACCACTTGTGATCTGGTCTCTTACTTCCAGCTGCTCTGATCTTCCTCATCTCTCCCCTGGCTGGACTCCTGCCATACTGACCTCCAGTCTACATCTGCACATGCCAACCTCTTTTCTGTCTTTAGTATCTTTGCCTTTGCTATTCATTCTGCCTGTGTTATGTTTTGTATCTGGATGTCCCGTCAAAGCCTCATGTGGTCATGGAGAGTGGGCTTTTCAGAGGTAGCTCAATCTAGAGTTTGTGATTGGTTCATCATCTAGTGCTGTGATTGATGGTCTGAGTGCTACACCAGCCCTAGGGTGGGTAGCCTGCATACAATATATAAGGGAGAGAAAGAGGCTTGCTTTCCCCTTTTGTCTCTTGTTTCATTTGCTGTCTCCACCGCCATGCTGCCATGCCACCATGAACTGTTGCCCTCTTCCTTGTGCCACCCTGGCTTGGAGTCAGCTGAGTATGGACTGAAACCTCCACAAACTTTGAGTTAAATAAACCTTTCTTCCTTTAATTTTGGGTGTCAGGTATTTTGTCCCAGCAACAAGAGAAAAGTAACCAAGGCAGCCTGGAATCATCTTTCCCCAGATATTTGCAAGGATGCTCCTAGAGTGTCCTCTAAGAAATGAGCAGCCTCAAATCCTCTAGTCTTACCCATGACTCTAGTCTTGTTTTGCTTTATTTTATTTTTTACAATAGCATTTGCTGTCATCAGAGATTCTATTATATATTTGTTTTGTTGTTGGTGATTGTTTTTCTCCTCCAGTAAAATGGAAGTTTTGCAAGAGCCTGGACATTTGTCTGTTTTGTTCATTCTC